ATGCAAAGAGTGCGGTGTTAAACAACTGGGTTGAAGCTTCCATACGCATTAGCAGGATGAAGTCTTGGAAGATAATCGACAGTGAAGGTCGTCTGGCTCCACCAGTCACAGTTGCAAGAAATGCTGTTGAATTCTGGAGTGGCATGTCTATGGAGCAGATTTATAATATTGCTTAATGGGACAGGTCAAGACTGGCTAGCAGACGTTGCACGCTCAGAAAATTCATAGAACCAATTCATCGAACGGTGGACCTCTACCAAATATATTATCCATTACTCAAAATGCAGTCTGTGTTTAAACCTATGTCCACCTGACTTTATTTGAGAATTGCCTTTAATACTATTATTGCCTTTAATACTATTACCTAAGCGCCGTCATTCCCAATTTGTGTTGAAATTTTTTGCGAACAGAGCAGCGCTCTTGCAGCGAATTTGGCTCAGTGCCACTGTGCTATATCGAGTCATCCGGAAGTTATCAGAGCGATCTCGGAAAAGGTGTGTTTAACTCCTTTGTTAATACTGTAAATGATGTGTTAAGAATGTCGTATTGTTCACAGTTGTTTAATCTGTTAACTTTCCAGATGTGACGCTTTTTGGTGCTTTGGTTGCCGAAATATTGCTGGAAATGTAAGAGGATTTCTATTTTTAACAGTTACTTTTGAACTTATTTACTGTTATAATGTTATTGCTATCCAGTGAAATTTGCTAATTTTGTTGTTGTTGTAATCGCCGTGCAATGTAGATGATAAATGTGAATAAAAAAGGGTTTATGGAGCAGTTTTAGAGAAAAAATATTTCGAATGAAATGACTAAAAGAACCCACTTTTTGGAAAATTGAAAAAGGCTTTAAAATGTTACTGTAAAGGTAATGTTTCGCGAAGGAAACGAGAAATGCAAGAAAAGGGGAAATATTTGTTCAGTATAAATTTCAAAAAAATTAAAAAAGTATGCAAAATTGTTGGAAATGGAAATTTTAATGGGGTTGGTAGGACGTTAATTTTAACAGTTACTTGTGAACTTAATTACTGTTATAATTTTGTTCATATTCGCAGAAATTTGTTAATTTTGTTGCTATTGTGATGGTTGCGTGTTGTAGATAATAAATATGTTTAAAAAAATAGGGTTTGCCGAGCGTTTTCAGAGAAAAAACATTTTGAATGAAATAGCTAAAAACAAGCCACATTATTTAACAACTGCAGAAAGTTTAAAAAAGGTTACGGTAAAAGTGCTTTTTGGGGAACGGAAAGGAAACATAGAAGAAAGAGAGACATATTTGTAAAGCAAAAATATAGAGGAAGTTAAAAATTGAAGTGAAATTAATAGAAATAGAAGTTTTCTGGAGTGAGTAGGAGTTTTAGTTTAACAGCTGGTTCTGACCTTATGCACTGTTTCTTCGTATTCACAGAAATTTGTTAATTTTGTTGTAGCTTTGTTCCTTCAAACCTTAAGTACTACTGAATTTGTGTGGTTGTCTGCTTTTGTTAGGAACTTGTTAAATTATTTACGGTTCATTGTACTCAAAAATTTAACCAAGACCCCATGGTTATTTAACATATATTTGTAATTTGTTAATCTTTAAATATACGTCCAAATTGAAATACTAAGTGGAAGTGCGCAAAACAGTGAATGAATAAAGGAAGCGATAGTTCAAAAGTATTTATGTGCATTAAAGAAGTACAGTTAAAAGCATATTTATATTACTTTAATGTTTGTATATATATTTACTTTTTTTCTATGGATGGGAAATTACAGCTTAATATAAACATAAAGAAAGCTGGGTTTAATATAAATAAAACATTAGGGGCTAGAAATTTCCTTATGCTTTTTTTAAAATCATTTTTTATATTGCCACATAATACATTTTTCAAAGCCTTTTCAGAGAAGCTTAACACAAGAAGTTGAGTAGTAGTAGATTATAATTATTGAAGAAGCACGTAGTTGCATGTGCTGTACGCTAATGGTTTTGAAGGCGTCGATGCGTATGAAACTGCTAGTAAAATTCAGGTATGGTGAATCTCTTTAGTGGTATAGAAGTACACTACATATTTAAAGAATTGAAAGAAATACTGGAAAATTTCCTCACCGATGGTGCTGCGAAGCTAAGCGCTCTCAATCGCCAAACGTGCTTTTTTTTGCCGCAGATACATGTTCACTTAATGTAAAAAAGTTTTCAGACGTCGTGTTGTTCCGTTTTTAATAGTTTCAGATTTGTCCCTGCATTTCATTTTACCTTTGTAACGGTCTAGCTTTAAGGTTTCCTCTGATCTTTATAGTATTTTTCAACGGCAGCCTCTTCTTAGCGCGTGGTGTATGATAGCTATTGGTTGCGCTTTATGATTGCCTGGCGTGGAGTTCAATTTCTCCAGAAAATATTGCTATAAAAGTGTGCTAAACAGCCTATGAAGTATGAAAAATTCAGTTGTTTTAGGATTTACACAGATCATAGCACATATCATATTTATTTATTAAATATAATAACATAGTTAAAAATAAATACAGGAAATGATAACGTGATCAAAAACAAATACAGAAATTAATAATATGATTAAAAATGAGTAAAATAAATAATTATAATCCAGTTAGAAATATATGAAATAGACGTAATATGACGGTTTTTCACTTGTATTCGCGCAAGCAGAACGCACTTCACTTGAAAGTATTTGTATTATATATGGTGAAAAATTTTTGAATCGTTAGGGTAAAAAATGGTTTAATAGCACTGATGGGATGAATCCTTTCTTAAATGCATAAATTTACGCAAAATAAAATTGAATTAAGTATTGCATGGATTTGCAGCGTTAGATTTGCATTTTTAATTCAAACTCTTTAATTCAAAGTTCGTTTCCAACGTTCCAGTGCAAACTACATGCTGTCTCTACACTCTCGGGCATGTTTTTCAATCAAGTCTACTTAGCTTGTTTGATATCCTGCTTTACGCGAAGTGACTAGTATTAAGAATCGAGAGTTGCAAGACGAAATACTGTAAAAAAAATAAAAATACGAAATAACAACCATTAGCACTGACGCTGCAGGTTTGCAGAATCCAGCCTAGTTTGCACTCAAAGGCAGAATTTACAAGGGTTTTTAAAATCGGCATCAAAAAAAATTTGCTGGGAAATCATGACGAAAAACAGGCGTGCCACAATTTTCCGTGCTCATTTTTTGGCTAGCTGCTCGTTGCATCGTTGTATCTTTTCTAAAACATAGCTCATATATGTTTCTGGAAAACCGTTGATGGTTGACAAGGAGGCTCTCATATATCGATGCCAAGCCTAGGGGACGTTCGAAGTTGTATATTCCACTCATGCAGAGGAAGGAGTGGGCAAACTAAGGTACTGTTGTAAAGCGCTTCTCTAATCATTAGCGTCTTGAAAAAAAGCCAAAGTCTTACATGCGCTTCAACATAGAAAAAAAACTTATTCGGAATTTGTGCAAAAAATAAATTTTTAAATTGTAATTAAATTTTAAAAAAAAAA